TGACTCTGGAGGATATTATGCTGAGTGAAGTATCTCAGTCACAAAAGGACAAATACTACACGATGCCACTGTTGTAAAACAGGACTGACCTTGGGGTTGGAGAGAGACTGAGAAAGATGGGTTCAATAATGTATACTGCATTGAAACAGATGAGGGAAAAAACTGTTTAAAAGGGATATGTGATTAGGTATTTTTGTCATGACAGGAGTCTAGAGCAAAGGCTACATGGTGGAGTGGACCTGGGGGGAGGGTTTGTGAAACAAAGAAAGAATTTGTCTTTTACTTTTCCAAGAGGGTAGTGTACTGGGGGAGGGTTGGGAGGGAAGAAAAGTGCAACAGTGAATGAATGGAAATAAAAAAAACAACAACAAAGGAATGAGCTCAATCTACTGACTTATCAAAAGAAAGGAGGAGTATGATATTGCCTAATTGTTAGACTTTTCCATCCCCTTGAAATGCTAAGGAATGATACAGAGACCAGAATTAAAAGCATAGCTAGATGTATTTCTGCCAAGTACACTATTATCAGGGCACAAAAAGAATTTAAGAATCTTTTAGATCTGTTCTTTGGTTTCTTCTGGAAACCATGTTTAGTCTGGAATCATAATAACTGACTTTTCTAAATAGCTACGATGTTGTTGTTATGTGCCATTGAGCAGCCTATGACTCAAAGCAACCCTACTAAAAGCCCACCCGAACCTTGTCCAATCCAGCGCCATTCCTCTAATATGCGTGAGCCCATTGTTATAGCCACTGTGTCAAACCATCTTGTTGAAGGTCTTCCTCTCCTACAGCACAATCAAATAATAACACAGCCCAGTCCACGGGGCCTTCACCAGCCTTTCTATGAACCCAAACCCCTCCCAGCATTACTCACCTGGTCCTTTGGCTTTCGGTCTTTGCTTTGGGGCTGCTGAGGCTGCACTGGGACATTCTTTGCCACAATGTCATTGTCCGAGGACCACGTGGAAATGTGGTTTTTCAGCTGAGCACTGGGTTTAGTGTTACTCTGCAGTCTCTCCTCCTTCACCTGAGAAATACTGCCTTTACCTCCTAACTCATTAGATGGATTAAGGTGTTCTGGTTGAGTCCTATGAGTTGAGTCGCTTGTTGAATTCCTCCTTTCTGCAGGCAAAATGTCGATATTGACTCTACTGATTGTCGCCAATGACTCTTCAGTGTGGCTCAAGTCTGGTTTGTGGACGTGGTCTTTCTGATCCACAGGAGTTTTCGATGGGCCAGTGACCACAGGCATCTCCTGGGATAAACATCTATCTTCTCCCTGAGTAAAAATGGGCTTCCAATTTATTTCAGGACTCTTCAAAGCATATATAAAAATAAACTTAAAATGGATCAATGACCTAAATCAAAGAGCTAAAATTATAAAGCTTTTAGAAGACAACACAGGTATAAATTTTTATGACCCTATGTTTAGCAATGGATTCTTAAGGAGGACATCAAAAGCAAGAGCAACAAGAGAGAAAAAAAATAAACAAATTGGAATTCATTACCGTTAAAAACCCACTGCCCTGAAATAATCTTTATACAAGTTAAAATTAATTAGTAAAGACTGTGCACCTTGAGAGTTCCATTCTTTTAAGAACTCACTAGGCAAAATCAAACTCACAACAGCAACATGAAAAACCACAAAGGACACTTCAGAGGCATTGCATTTGTGTGGATGGAGGAGGGTCGGAATGACTGAAGAAAGAACAGCATCAGTGTCACAGAACTGTACAGGCAGAAACTGCTAAACTGGTGTATGTGCTGCGTTCTCAACAACAGATTATTTTTAAAAACCCAATTTTTTATGCTTCAAAGTACACCATCAAGGGAGTGAAAAGAAAATAGGGAGACGGTCAGTGGAGTCTGACCTACTTTAACTTCACAAGATGAAACAAACATCAAAATCCCAAAGGTGCATGGTTTGTATCCACTAGATACTCTGCTGGAGGAGGGACAATCTTCTCCGGTACCAGTCGGATCTGATTCGACAGTATACACACAATAAAAAAAATAAAAAATAAATTAAAAAAAAAAAGATGGAACATCAACAGCACAGAGCTGATGCCTCTGAGGTCAGACGTGGCTCCCATGCTCCACATCTTCTAACATCAAATATTCCACCCATGGCACTCCCCACTTCACTAGGTTATGTGGCAATGGCCACATAGAACTCAGAGATAATATTCATGATTATGGGGCTTATTTGGAAGTAAAAAGCTACAATTTAGGCACCGAAAGTCAGCGAAGTATTCTTTGGTGTACTCAGGCAGGCCGCTCTGACCCTCAGCCTCTTGTCCCTGGTTTCTGCCTTGTGCAAGTGTTGACAATGATCTCTTGTTGGTAGGAGCCATCAAGTCGACTACTATCCAAAGTGACCTTATGAACAACAGACTGAAACCTGCCCTGTCTTGCACCATCCTCAAGTTCTCTTAGCTTTGTCAATTCTGTGCCATCTCTACTCTGCCACTGAGCCTAGGCCCAAGGGGGCTCAGCTCTAGCTGAGTGGGTTGGTAGGCTTAGTTCCCCTGGTAAGTGCCCAAAGGTTCTCACTTAACCAGCTGACTTGCTCTCTGGGTCAGGAACCCACACTGTTTCAAAATCTCTGGTCCTTGGCTGCTGCTTTTACTGCTGCTGCTTCTCCCACCTCTGCTGCCATCTCTTGGCTACACTTGTTGTTGATAATGAGATCTTTGTTTTGGGTGTGCTCAATTTGAGCCTGGCAAAACTGATGAATCCCCACATTAGCATGATACACATATTCTCTGTATGGTCTTTACCCAGCCATGTGGTGAAACAAAGACAATGTCTTAGAAGAGTCTTATCAAATTAGTCACTGTTGTCAGGTGCCACAAAGTGGGTTCTGTCTCAAAGCAACAGCCAGCGGCAGGAGACTGTTCTGCACCATCTTCACAGTCCCTCCTGTGACTGAGTCCGGTGGTGAAGCCATCTCATTGTGGGTCTTTTTCACTGACCCTCTATTTTACCAAACATAATGTCTTTCTGTGGGAACTGGGCCTTTTTTTTTTTTTACAGCATATTCTTTCCATTTAATTTTTTTTCTCTCACTCATTGTTGTACATTTTCCTCCCTGCCCACCCCTCCCCCAGTTTGCTTTTCTCTTTGAAAAAAAAAATTTCTTTCATTGTTATACAATCTCCTCCCAGTCCACAGTTCACTTTACTAAGCATTTCTTTTTCTGGAATCTTGTCATGAAAATAATACCCAATCTTCAATAATGTATACTGCACTGAAACAGAGGAGGGAGAGAACCGTCTAAAAGAGAGATGTAACTGGGTATTTCTGTCATCACAGGAGACTAGAGCGAGGG